TGCGAAGAGGTTATCTCGTTTTACGCGCCAACTTAATGAGGAAACATACGCACGAATAATGATCCCCATCTCTCGCCTCGCATGGAGCGGTTCATCTAGCATTACAAACCAGATTAAGACGAAAAACAGTTTATAACGTGCAAGCGAGAGTTTCGGTGGTAGAAAACGTAAATATCAAATTGTTTAGAGAGATAATAAGTACAAATTTCTCGAGAAAATATCTTTTTAAATCTGCAAAATTCTCGAAAAAATCCACATAGTTATTAACATTTTATATCCAACCCAGCGTATAAGAAATCTCTCAAATACCTTTCCATGTAATTTCCTACATACAAGAAGCGCCTTAAAATCCTTTAAATCCTCAGATTAACTCAGAGAAATTTAATTATTAACATTTTATTCATTAAACTCTCAGGTATGTAAATAATGATATGATCATTTTTCGTGTGATTAGTAGATGTGAGAGCCAATATAAATTAGTTGAGAGTCGAATATTCGGAGCTGTCAATTTTTCAACTTAGTTTACCAACATGTATAACTTCACATAAATATATACTCCGTTAGTATTGATTAAAAGCTACCGTGGCAAAATATTAATTATTTACATACTTCAGAATTTACATAATAATTTACATATATAACTATTTTGATAACAAAGAACAAAGATGAACTATTTGGCGTTAAGCTATTGCGTACTGGAACAAAAAATATTTAAAACGGAAAATGTCAATTTGTTTCGCGCAAAAACTGTACGAAAATAAAATATACTTTCTTAATTTTAAACCTAACTAAAATAAATTTTTACAGCTTTAATAGCTTTCAAGAATTTTTCATCATCATTGGGCAATCGCTGGATCGTAAATAATGAAAAGAATCGCAAATGCAATTTTCTTTTCACACATTAGTCAAAACATTCGCTGCATTGTGTCGCATTAGCCGTAATTGTATACAAAATTGCGAGGGGTAAGATGAGTTTGTGTATCTCGTCCTGGTTCCATTGAATCATAACCGACGGTGCATCCAGGACGCGGCTGGAATAAACTCCCGGTGGGTTTTGCGTATATCGCAACCGCGCGGTCCGCTACTATAGACGACAACTCGCGTCGCCATGGTGACCTCAACGTACACAGAGATATACTCCACGTTTGTAATCCACCGAGATTAATCTGGATTTTTTTGCTAGATGATCGTGCTGCGGATTTCGGTACTCGCCCATTTTTCACGGTCCATTCGTTCGGGAAATGCTCTTCGCCGTGATATCGAGATATCGCGATTCATTAGCGAATATTCCGATATAAGCTGAATCAGTAAGCGCGTCCACAATTCGCAATTAAGAGATGTTCAACGACAATTGATATTAATTACGTAATGGATTGCATAAAAAATTAAATTTTTATATGCGTATTCTACATATGTATATGATTGTTATGTATATAATTGAGAATTTGCGCAATATTCCAGAGAAGTTCTGGTTTTAATTGTAATAATATTTTAATTAATGTAAAATCAAATTTTCTCAAATCAAAATATTGCGATAATTTGTAAACGCGGAGATTTTCATAAATTAAAGTGCAATGGAATAAATATGTATATCTTATCGTAAAATTACATTTATCAAAAATTTTTCGGATTACACCTAAAAGGCAGATAATATTCGCGATTTTTACATTCGCACCAAAGCGAATAAAATGCATAAAAGCGTCTAGAATCTAACAAGTTCGAGCGACTTCGGTATATTCTAGATACACGTCGAAATTCCACGTGCACCTGATAAACATCCACAACCGCGATATTGTGACTATTTCCGGCGACACCGACCTTCGCGAAGTCTTGAGCATGCTTTCCGAGGAAGGATGACAATTGCAAGGACGACGGTGAAAGCTATAATGATGCTCCTTTAGCCGTGCGCACGTGATTTCGCGTATATGTGTGTATGTGTATGGATACATATAACAAATCGCGGAGGAACGTTCAAAACAACTTCAAGAGGGAAATTCCGTGACAAAGGCGTCTTCCTTCTCGATTGTAAGCTCCTTATAGGTTTACTGTATAGATACGAAAATGTGTCTGTGTGTGGCGGCCTCCTATGCAATTGCCACGAGAGTGTTCCCGATGAAATGTGCCTGCGCTTGTAATGCGTATTTGCGGAACGTTATCGAGGAAACTGCATAGCATTGCATAACCGACGATTTCATATGCTACCGCCGATGCGAGTGCTGTCATTTACAAAGCTCCGTTAACTGCTTTAAACTGCGATTCAGCACGTCCAGCAACTTGCGAGTCGAGCTTTAAATCTCTCGTCTTGACGGAGAATGGAAAGAAAGAGGGATGATAAATTACGAACAAAGGAATTCTTGCCTTTTTTGTTCGACGAATGTCGTGTGCCATTCCAATGTGCGCTGTTTTACGCTCGAGCAAAAACTTTCTCGATCTAGCGAATTATCCGTATAAGAGAAGTGCATATAAGCGAATTATCGTTTGTCTCTCTCCCATGGGTATTTTCTATTAAGAAATGAGATTTTACGTCACGCGACAGTTACGAGAGAGCGATGATTCAAATACAATTTTGCCGTGGCTATTCAATTTCCTGTTGTCACAATAAGAAGGGAAAAAATCACGTCCAGCTTTTATCGTGAACTTCACGATTGCCAATGCGGGGGATGATGAAATATGTATATCTCAATGATTGAACTGTACTTCATCTTTTGCATACTTCATTTCTTCCGTTCATTCGCTTTTCTCTCTTCATCGGCCATTCATGTCGCATTCATGTTTCATCGACAGCCGCTCCCGACTCCCGCGTTTATTATCTCGATAGTTATAATTAAACATTGCGACGCACTGCATTCGCGCATAGTTTTTACGCGGTTCGCTGCAATTTCCATTTATCTCCGCAATATATATCCCATGCATATGCATGTGCTCAGACGCCTATGCAAATCCATTTGCCTGGATCTTAATATACTGTCTGCCTTATTGTGAAAACAATATATGTGGGATAAGTTGCCGCGTTGCCAGGAAATACACAGACAGTATCGATATTCTCTTCTCTCTCTTTCTCTCTCTTTCTCTCATTTTTCATATTATTGTTTTATATTATATAAAACAATACATACGGCCTACTTTGTGCACAAAGATTACAAACAAGTCCGATGTTTTCCATTTAACGATTGGTTTTTTTTTAAATATTCCTGTTGCAATATTCCTGATACGATGTAGACTTCATGGCAATCAATATATCCAACATGTATAAATATACATAGATTTAGTATTGCTAAAGTGATATGTTATTTTACTCAGATTGTATTCTAAATCTTATTGATATAATATCGCGTTATACTCGCATCCGAGTGAAGCAACAGCCAGAATAGAGACAATGAGATTTAGCGATGTATGCGCGGTGGGAATGCGCATCATCATTTTCATAAGACATACTGTCACGCTGCACATATGCGCGCGAGTCATAACGCTCGTAATAAAACTTTATAATGTCGAAACTCGTATAACAGAGTGAATATACTACACGCGCGTTATGATAGAATATGCATCTTCCGCTATACAACAGACTTGGGTCTCGCAGGTATTGATGTTTTACAAATGTAATATTTCAAAAATATGTTACCGCAATCAAATAAGCACGAGCTTTACAATATTTATGCGAATTAATTTTTATTGCGCGGTATTTTTAAATTTAATTATCGTTTTCCGGTTTAAATTGTATTATTTTCATAGCATTTAATTAAAAATTTTTGTTACGTATAAGTTGCAAAATAGATCAATAGATATGTAGATTTTATTATTTATTATTATATTTGTGGTTATATATACATATATATATATATATTCTGTTGTAATAATATCCGTGCTACTGAATTTCAGAAATATTTTAACGTTGAGTTTTTTATCCCATTTCTTTCCAATTAAACTTTGCAATTTATATGATAAAAATGTGATTATTTTCTCTGCATCTCGAATAAATCCCAGAGATGTACGGGATATATTTACACAACTCAATTTTCATGTATCACATCCCATATAATAGAGGCGACATTTCATTGTTACAATGCGTCGCAACACGCTATACACTTGGGAATGACCGAACTGATGTTGAGATGTTAACGGAAAAAAATTCGATTTCTAGTTTCCAATATTGAAGCAAAATTTCTTGAAACTAATTGAAGTTCGCAATATCGATATTCGTTGAAGTTTATAAGTAAAATGTTCGAGATAACTTTAAAAGTTTGCGATATATATGCTTAAATATTGCGCAAATTATATTAATATAAAAAAATCGTTTGTTGTATTGATTAAAAGAATAATTTTGTAATATAATGCAGTATCCTTTAGCGTAATTTGCATTTTGTAGAGAATGCGTATAAAACACTAATAAGCATGATGTAATACACGTAAGTAGATGCATATAAAGACGGATGATCATATCCTAATTTATAGGTAACATGACACGCAGTACGTTAGAGATAAAGCGAATATTCTCAATTATGATAAACTAGTAGCAACATCCGCTAGACACATGTATATTATCATGTGACAAATTGCTTGTACATGCAATTTTATATATTTACGTAAAAAATATTGCTTTCACTGATTAAAAATACTAAAAAGAACTTCTTTATAATTGACTGAAATGTCATGCTGCAAGCAAAAATATAATTGTATCTTTTTCAAAAAAAAAATTAATACAAAATTTGCAGTAATGGAAAATTTGAGTGAGAATTCTGTTTTAAATATCTCAAAAGTTTCAAGTGACTGGAATCTCTCAAAGCATTTAATATCTAAGGTACCGAAACTTTCGAATGTCAAAGTGCTCTCTTGCCGATAATATTTCAGTGACGGAATCTTAACGATCGTATTTCTAATTTCTCAGTTGAATTATCTAGCTTTCCGGAACTTCTAGACTTACAAGACTTCGCGATGCTTCAAGAGCATCGACAGTTTAATCAAACACAGCTTAATGGAGTAATTAAAACGTCAAGACTTACCAAGATTCTCGAGACGCCGAGATAATTCGAAACCTGCAAAAAAAATAAGAAAAATTTATTAATAATCCAAAATTCATTAATCATCCATAAACACAATATCGCAAATAAATACCGCAAATAAATACCGCAAAATTACAAAAGCAAATCTCATTTATAAAATGTAACTTTAAAATTCATAAATTTTTTTTTCTATTGTTAATATTTTTATTTTCAAGGAATGTGATTATGATTCAAAAATATTTTCAGTTTTGAAAAAAACTGCAAAAAAAGTCATTCACTATTTTATTAAATATTTGCTTCCAATTTTTATGCAAAATAATTTAAAAGTTTGCCATCGAACAAAGGGATAGTAAATATTAATTTTCTCTATGCAACACTAAATAATATCGCACCATACAGGATAAAAGAAGAGTTCGCACCGTGCTGTAGCAGTGAAACGAGATATTAAGCACAGATTAATTTATGTGCAACGACATATAAAATGAAAATAGATATTCTATAATATAATTTTATCCATGATCAATAAATATACAGCTTTCCTTGATGCGCAAATAAACATGTCTATTTAATAACGAAGAGAATAATGTTTGGAAAAGAGAATAATGGAAAGAGAATGATGCTTTACTTTGAAAATCACAATTTAATAACAACACATACATATAAATGGGAAATTTAATATAAATCTTTTTAAACTGCTGTAATGTTAGATGATTTGTTCAAAAAGAGATGCACACAAAGGATGAGAAACGCTCGTCGAGAGATTACTTTTGTTTGAAATAAAACACCGCATCTAATTGCTTTGGATCGGCTTCCAGTGGATCTTTGTAAGTTAATTATCAAAGTTCTTCGGCAATCGACAAATACAGGAGCGAAAACGAAGAGATCCATCCTTACACAGACAGCGACAACCACTCGGCGCTAAAATCGAAGATTAAATTTCTTTCTCCAATTCAATGATTCTCTATTACACGTATTTAGTTATTTATCGATGCTTGTTGCTACAACCCAAGACCTTTTATTTCACACTTCAATCATTGATAATGCTTGCAATTTCCAATTGGAAATGTATACAACACATTCGTCAACAGCATATATCCTGCATTCCCGTATTGTTCTAAGCCCGCAAAACGTGTGTTGAAATTGATTTTGCGGGACAAAGCTTTTAGCTAAAGGTATACTATAATTTAATTAATGGTTCAATCAATTTGCAAAACGTATATCCAATAAAATATTCCAAATGCAGCGGTTTCCAGTACAATCGTCATTGCATGTATTAATTTTATTGCTGTTAATACAAACATTATTACGTGATATCTAGCATTATTCGATTATACATATTACCGATTATTATTTCACCGAGATTTGCATTAGCGGATTATTGTTTTACTGAGATTTACATTAGCGGTAGTGGAAAACTTTTAATAAAGTTCACTAGGTTACGTTGCTGTCACAGAAATGACAGATGACAACATTGCATCGCGTATTTTCATGCCGTTATTTCTTGGCAAAAGAGACCTTTCTTGAGATGCCAAGTCGGAATAAAGGATGACGTGATCGCGAAATGGCACTGCTTCGTGTCGACGTTTGATCGACGGGGCAAATAAATCGCCTATGTTTATTCATACGATGCTCATAGTTGATGGCGAGGAAGCTGTCATGCGGACTCCTCTTTGAGAGAAAATCGATAATGGGCTGCTTGCAATTAATCGCCGAAAACGTGTTAGGCGGTTGTTCACTTAACCGAAGAAAGGGTCATAATATGAGATTTTCATCAGGATGATGAATCGATGCAATGTCTGTCAGAAAGAATGCAGACTTGTACCTTCCGACAGAAATCTCATGTCTGATCCTGAAGCTTATAAACCATGCTTCAATTTTCGATGCGTTCACATTGCATCTGCTGTATTGCGATTCATAACACGGAAAGGGAATTATTACATTTTAAGAATAATAATTTTTTTTTATATTATCTCTATTATTGTCAAAATTATTCTTCTTACAATCCTTATAATTTTATTAAATTTTCTATCTAGGAAAAATAAACTAATCACAATAATGGTCCTAAATTATTCTATCTTCCATTTTTTATTTTTGTTAATGCTTGATAATCATTTGTTTATTTCTATTAATTTAATCACCTTCAGGTTTATTTGCTAATTAGTGAGTATAATCCATCATTTTTGTTTATATGCTATTTTGATTGTCATCAGAATTATTATAATTTAGTAATCAACTGCCACTATCAATTAATGTGATCAATGCCGCTGAAGTGTTTCTACATCTTCAACCTTTCTATTTGACTAGTTAACATTACTTTCCGCATGCTGCGCAAGTTATATCGATCATACTCAACGTGAAAGACGGAGTTATGTTCTAAATGTAATCGGTCGGTCACCGTGGAGCGGCACCGCTTCTCCGCGTAAGAACGTCGACTTGAAGCATCATCTACGACCTTTCTCGAGAAAACTTTCTAATATAAGATGATATAAACGTATTTGTAGGTATGTGTGTGTGTATACAAGAAACGGCGTGTGTTCCTGTATACACGTAAACCCTATAAAGCCTAAATCACAAATGGGCGGAGTGAAGGAGGATACGCCGAGAGTATAGGATTATTTTATAGGATCTTGGATTAAAGTGGATGCTTTCACTACGCGAACGCTTATCACGGCATATCAAAACTTTCCCGCCAGAACGGGCATCTCAAGAATAGTGGAAAAGCTCAGATGTGAAATACGCCGCTAAGGAGAAGATTGCCGCAAGATGTTCCCCTTGCAACAGCCTGTATCGCACGTAATCATTTAGTCGAAATAATATCATGCGACTGTTTCAGCAAAGTTTCGGGTAAGTTTGAAGTGTATTAAATAATACTCGAAGTCACGCACATCTGCATCGCACGTGGTGAATATATAATGTGGATGTAACGCACTGTGTTACGTCAACGTGTATTTTGTTCATATTTATACAATTACGCGTGCAAGATTGTAAAATTGAAAATTGTTAATTTGAATTTTATTTGATACAGCGCAAAGTTACGAGTATCAGCCAAATCAACATAGTTCACGATAGCTAAATACAATATCTAAACACTACGCATATTTCTCACGGATAAATTCCAACGAATAAACTCGTTGCTGCGCAAACAAACTCATGCGATAAGGCTATTCATAAATTTCGCGAGCTACTGTGAAAATAATCAAGTGTTGCATGCATCACTAAGATTCCCTTACACATTGCTATCGTAAACATTAAATTATTTCATCCGCGAGAGTGAAGTATCACTTATCCGTATTATGTTCCGCTATTATGCCATAAAACACATGCGTCTTTCCAACAAACAAAACCAGCGCGGCAATATATCACGCGAGATTAAAAGGCGTAAAAGATTAATTGAAGATCACTCGTGAATAAGCAATACTGCGTCAAATAGTGCCACGTCGTAAAAAAGGATAGTGTCAGTTTTAGAACAGCGAGAGACAGGCTATACCACCTCGGGTAATGACTCTCGTACTTTAACCCTCTTTTACGCTACCTGATATCGATATCGCCGTCGTCATGGCGAGACGGAAAAGAGCTTTCCCCGAAGCAAAATGGAAAGCTGTCGTCGCTGAACGGCGAAATGAATTTTATGCGCCATTGCTTGATATTCGCGGCTTTTTATCGCATTCATGACGTATTTCTGACATATCTATGATGTTCAATCTATGAAATCAATTATTTCTCTGTAAATTGCAAGTAAATCTGAGAAGCGTATTCCCCTCCCCCCTTTTTAATTAATGACTATTGGTTTTTGTTACAATTTCACGTGTACCTATCTTTAGAAATATGCGTCTAAATTCTGCAGTTTTGTGTAATTTGCGTAATTTTTTTGTTCTCTATTTTATAAAAAGTAAAATACTCCGAGAAACTACATTTTAAAAGAAATAAAAGTTTTAATTATTTGTAATGACAAAAAGCATCTTGTTAAAAACTTTGTAATTAATTTAAACATGTTAACATAGCCTTAATTTTATTTGTATATGATGGATCTTTTCCAAGCAAGTTTTGCTTGAACCATAATTCTCTCGCCCGACGTTAAATAAACGATCGCGACAAATTGGAGCTCAACGAGCTTACTTCCTTTTTTTTTCTAGATAACATAATCCCACTTGGTCACACACTGCACTCTATGTAAGGATAGATAGACCCAAGAGAAAATGCTTATCTAATGCAAGGTAGCGATTGAAGCTATCAAATCCGTAATTATATTGCGCGATCTGCAATTGCAAACTGAGAGCCGATGAAAAAAGATTTTCTCCCCAGACGCTGTTTTATAGTACAGTCGTTTAAACTTATCAAAGCTGCGCGCGGCTCAGGACAAAGATACGCCCGTTTGCACGATAGTTCCCGCTATCACAGCACAGCGCTTTGTGAAGCCATTGTTCTTCAGAGCGTTTTCTTTTCACGTCCGCGGGTATAAAGAGTAACTGTTTTCGCATCTACCGAAAGTGCATTGCCGATGCAATTTAAACTTTTAACATTTCGCATTGAAGCTTTACGTAGGGAAACCTGTAAGTCGTAACTTCTTTTTCGCTATCCCGCGGGTGCGACCCGGAACGCACGGGCGGGCGAGCGGGCGAACGTTCGAACGTAACGCGACGTAAGGAGTACGGAAGCTGTCGAACTTCACGACTCTCCGATCCCCGCACTCTTCCGCTGTGCTTGCAAAAGATTTTTCAAAAAATCTTGGCGAAAGACGCGAACGATATTACAGTTTTATGGCGGATATTGCCAGTTGAAAACGTCTTCTTGCACGTGATGGATTTTTAAAAAAGATTAATGATTGTTGCTTCGAAATTTCGCAACTTGTAGATAATAAATTTAAAAAAAACAGTAATTTTTAAAAGAGGTAATCCTCAGTCATTTTTCAGTGGTCTTACATACATTATCTACGATGCAGCGCAAAACATCGCACTCAAAGTAATTTTAATATTTTGAGTAAATTACAACTTTTAAATTTTTAATTTAAAACTGAATTATTTGGCTTTTTTAAT